TGGCTAAGATATCTGTATGGTTAGCCCTACTAAGTTCTATGCTTTAAGACATTATAGTGGTAAATAAGGGAACCACACACGGTTACAATTGGCGACCACGAAGGGACTTTGTACTTGGAAGCTTTAAATATAAAATAAATACCTAGGTAACCTCTTATACGTAAGAGAAGACACAACACTTTGTCATGGCACAAGTCTTGAAATATCAAGAATCTATTGAGCTACTTGTAGCCCAGACTCAGAGAGAGATCATTAGAGATGATTTTAATGTGAACAAGGCACTGTGAGTTTAGGTGCCAGGTACAACGTAATTAGCATACAATGCTGAAATTGTGGATCTTAACTAATATCATAATAGAACAAATGCCTAATACACCAGCATAGCATGGCCCATTATTTCCAGGACAGTGGATTGCAGACAGGGGGATATGTTCTCTTTGTAGCTGCTTAGTATGCATGCGCAGGAAAAAGATTAATGCAAAATGTTGTCAAAAGAAAAGTGATAAGACAGAGCGATGAAATTTGAAGTCTAATTCCAAGAATGCAAAGAAAATTGCATTATGGCTTAATGAAAACATTCATGCAACAGACAGACAGGATTTTTAATTATTGCATTACTGCGTTCTGGATTCTAATGTCCACTATATATGAAAAGTTTTATAAAACAGTGATATTTTCCATATTGTCAGTTAGGCTAGCTGTTGATTGAAAATCAGGAATTATAACAGCATAACTATTTTTGGAGTCTGGAATTTCCAGCCAAGGTTGCAGAGATACAGAGACATGTAAACATTCCAAGGAATTGAGAAGTCGTTGTTTTATATTCCAAATTATGAACAACATTATTACATACAGCCATAGAGAGAAAGACATGGCTATTAAATACATTGAGTGCAGTACAATGCAGTACACTGCAGCATATATATTATATAATATAAGATAACTAGCTTATATTTTTTCCTAAACAGAGTTGAAATTATACTACCCTCCTAGAAAAAAGGGCAACAGGTGGTTATACATCCTTTGCTTCTCTAAATGCTATGCAAAAATAAATATTTATAAAATTATTAAAAATAATATATGTAAGAAATCAGGGCAAAATAAAATGGTAACTATACAGGATCTCTGATAACTTTTAAACTGAAATTATTAAAGGCTTATTTAAATAAAATGTTAAATACATTTACAGCTTTAAATGTGACCAAAATATATTAAATGATGTGTTAAGCAGCCAGCCCAATTCACTAGAATAGCATAAGTATTCTACTATTTAAAGTGCACAATTCCTGCACATAATGACTTTGCTTACTCAGGTACAGTCTTTAGTCTATTGCAATGGCAGAAAAGTCCACCAATTTTAAAAGGGAAAGCTTACTTAAATCATTGGTACTATCCCACCGTACTAGCAGTAAGGAAATTAGAACAATTATATTGTACTGCTGACTGTAATCAGATCAGACACATGTAATCTCAGTGAATTTCATAAACTAGGTTTTTATAAAATACGATTAAATAAATAAAAGTATATAGACTAGGCAATAACAACATTTACATGCATTCAGCAGCCTGCTCTCTCAGAGCCAGAAACGGATTTATAAAAAAACTAAAAAGTAGGTTTTAAAAAGTCAACAGTCAACCACGCATATTGCTTCACTAAAAACTATATGCTGTCGCAATTATGTATATAAATACAGATTAGGGTACAGCGTAGAAATAAAAATACAGTTTCAAATCTCATATATGAGGATTCAGTTCCACCACATATTCTACAATTCTGAAAGAGGCTAATTTTAATATGTTGTAAAAGCACATATAATGCAAAATTAATTTGATATTGCAAGGCTGCAATATTCTAAACAGACATTAAAATTTAAGAAAAAAAGAAAAAGAATAATGCATAAAGAATAGTGTCAATTAAAGTGATAATACTCTGATATATTAAATCACATTGCATAGCACATATCTGCTATATGAAAAGTATAATTAAGGTGACTTTACTGCCCAATGCCCCCTCACATCTATTTTATAGAATCTATACTTTTCAGTGGTCACTTCTAAAGAAGCCTCTGAAACTGGGGGGCTCAGAGGGGTGCTCATCCCAAAAGAAATCAGATTCCAGACTTAAAATAAATAAATGATAGAAAAGGAATCACAGACCAGAACATGCATTTTTGTATATAATCTTAATTTGCAGATATTTTATGCAGTAAAGACATATACAGGATAGTTAATTAAATATGCAGGTATCTTTAAAAATTAAGCAATGTTAAAAAAAATAAAAAAATAAAATAAATAATAATAATAAAAAATATATTTTACACCACAATATAAACAGCTTTGTTAAACAGATTTAAGTACAAGTACTTATGTCAAGAAATATACAGAATACGTTTACAACAGGCAGGTTTAGCATAAATGCAAAGTTGTTGTTTTGGGGGATTTATTATTGCCCAAGAAATCTCTGAACACATTCAGAATTTTTGAGAGCAGCAAGTATAGACAGCAGATTGCAATGGACACCATTACAATATTGCTTTGCCGATTGAGGTCAGAGATTTAAAGAATAAATGTTCTATAGCTCGCTAGACCACTGGCTTTTAATGAACAGTTTGCACAACACTTATAAATAGTTTGTAATACTGCACATTATAGCTGTGACAACATAATACACATGGTAACAATGCTATGTCACTGTTTAATAGACTTACCCAGTATTTAAGGACAACGTGTTTCTTGCAAAGTCATCGGGACTTTGAGGGAGGTTCTAATTACGTTTAATTAATTAATTTACTAAAGAAAAAAAGAAGGTTTTGTTTTTCCCCTGCAAGTGAGTTTTCAGCGCAAGGTCATCTTGTGTTCACAGACTATTCGGTTTTAAAAAGCTGTTCTTTATCTCACATTATGAACGGCCTTGTAATTCCTATGCACACTAAAAGTTGGCTTCTAAATGTTATCGTTTTAACTTTAATATTTCATAGTTAATACAGAGGATAAAGTAATTTAAAGAAAGTATATTGAAACTATATTAATTGATAAGATTTAATTTATCTATTTTGGTCCACTGTTCACTGATCTCAAAACTCAGTCTGGTGTTTAAACAGTTTTTCTTACGATACGTCGTGAGTTTATATCCACAACTGCATTTTGCTTTGTGGAAACAAATTGAAAGCCTGGCATTGTAATATGTGTATGGACATGCTTATAACAAAGCATGGGCCCTCTCCTCATGTAGTTGGTCAGTAACAGGCACTTTGATGCAATGTGTCTACCAACGCTTTTCTGTGGTCACTGGATCACATCGCATACCCTATCTCTCAGTCATGATGCAGAGTTTATGCTTGCAAGGATATCCAGACCTTATCCACCTGGTATCCGCATAAATACTCCTATCGTTTAGAGGGGTTAATTACATAATAACCATTGAAGGTAATACGTTGGTTGTTCTTCCTATAGAGGAAAGATGGACTTGCCCTAAAAGCTTTTTCATGGCTAGGACAAGCTCTTATAGAGAGAGGTAATGTACTTCTGACTCCTGAAAAGGAATATTGTTGGTCACAATATGGGAAATACTGTAATTCATGTGTTTAGTAATCATAAGCATTTGCTTATTGCCACATTACTGATGTACTGTTTATTGAAATATTAATATCCAACATACTTTTGAATTACTATATATTGAAAGTTTGCCAACATCTCATGGTTATAAATATGTTTTTGTATGTGTTGATGCATGTACCATGTTTACTTGGATATATCCTGTGCGAAGTGCAACCTCTGATGCCATGTTTTCTAGTCTCACTTCCTTAGTATGCATTTGATAATCCCAGGACCATCCATTTGGATGGTGGTCCTGCAGTTACTGCAAAGGAAACCTAAAACTGGGCAACCACATTTGGGTTACTTTGGGATTTCAGTGCCCCAACCACCCCCAAAGAAGTGGGGTTGTGGTCTGGGAGAATGCTGAGGTTAAATGATTATTAACCAAGTTACTAGTTGCTTGCCCCACACAGTGGTATCTATTTATTCCTATGGTACAGATAAGCATTCACAACATACCTGATGATACAAATGGTGAGACACCATATGAAATGTTACATGTTTTTCACTGACAAATATATTTCTGCACCAGGGAGAGCTTAGAACCATTGGTTCTATTAGAGAAATTTAGGGAATTTTTTTTTTTCCAGTCCACCTCGCCTTGCACCACCACCTATTTCCTTCTGTTGGCCAGTTTGTCCTGGAGAGGGTGATACCAAGAACTTTTACTACAGAGAACAATCAGACCCAACAGAGAACAGTAAGTTTTGATATTTTACAACCTGCTAAATATTAACAGGACATTCACAGAACCACTGACTGACACAATGGATGCTGTTAAAGATGGCAAGATAAAACAAACAGAGGACGACAGAAAAGCCACCAGAATCATAGACAGACTGAATCATGATCTGACATCTGAACCTGCAAATGTGAAGGAGAAGGATGAACAGACAGACGTGATACATTCACAGTTAACATGGAATGTATGAAAAATGAATCATCAACATCATTATAAGAAAGACTCTGGAGAAAACAGACTGAACCTGAATTATCTTATACAGTAAGAAAGAAATGCAAAGATGGAAGCAAAAGGATGCTGGAAAATTGGTTATGGTGTCTCCTTCCTACAATCTGCAGCATTATCATAACATCAACCCTAGCTGTCGTTTTAAAACTGCATTGGGATTATGTTAACAAGCAGGAAGCACCTGAACTGAATTGGACTGCACACTATACAAGTTCTGGGATCGTGAGGACTACCTCCAAGAACTATCTCAAAAGGAGAGACATAGCGCACAGTGAAATGATTGCCTACACTGGTATTTCACAAGGAACCTATTGAGATTATTCCAAAAAACGATTATACATGAGAAAGATGTGATTGGACAATTACAAATCCTAATAATGGAATCAACAATGATGGCAAAGCATGCTGAAAACAGAAAAAGACGGGAAAGATGCTTTGGATGCACCTATGAAGGTGATGCAAGAAAATACTTTGCCATATAGTTTATCATTGAATGACTACCGCAAACAGCCTTCTTATGCTGAAAATAAGTGCTATACTAATTCTGGACATTGCTATTATCCAAACAGACGATAACCGGAAAAAGAAATAAAGGCTGATAACTGTCAACACCCAGCTATTTCTTAAGATGGAACATGGTACTGAGAAAACCTGATTGACTATCAAAGCACCTCACAGTACAAGACACAGATTGTTGCCTACAACTCAGAAAAAGTGGTTAATAGGAAGGAGCAGAAGAAGAGGAATATAGATTTCCTACTAGAGTGAAAAACCATCCTGGAACAATATTCTGTAACAATGAACTTTACAATGACATTTGGTGGCAAATAAATTTGAATTAGAGAGAAACACATTAACTAAAGAAACCTTGATGCAATTAATAAATAAAAACAACACCGGCCTACTAAGAGCAGATGCCCTGCCAAGAGAATGGAATATAAAAGGCCGGCAAAACCTTTCAGAAACCTGACATCATGGGACACTTGTACTAAAGCACGATTTGCAGCTTTTCTTAAACTCTACATATTATGTACATACCTGCAAAGCAAGGAACTCCTGTAAACATAAACACAGAGACATTGATACAACAAGGAATCTGTAATGGTTCTGTTGCAGATGTGATCTACCGTCGTACTCCTTGCTCTTTTGGTATAACTATACCAATCAAAATGTTAAACGGCTCCATAGAATCAAATGACAAAGGATTCTTGCTATATTCTGGACTTCCAGGAATGTGGTGCATGGACCGAAAATTATGATTACTAAAGCAATCATGCTATTTATTCCCTGTATCAGAAATGTGTCAGTGACAATGTGTAATATAATAGAGATACTATAATTAATGGTATAAGACACACATAATGTGTTAATTACAAAGGTGGATAGACTTTGTGAATATCTGGAACGCAATTGAAGATTATTGCTAAAATGCCATATGCAGCTGCAGTCTGGCCTACAAACAAATATATTAAACATACGTAGAAGAGTATAACAGCTAATTACCAAGATGAATAATTGAATCATGATAGTTAAAGATCATATGATTGCAATAACAACTGCAATAATGAATAAGGTTTAAACTTTAGAAGAAAATATAAAATGTTTTTATTAAAACAGAAACTACTCGATATTCGTTTAAGTTTGCAGAGTGGTATAATTAATTAATATAAGTGAAATACTTCAACAGTTAAAATTTAACTGAAAGACAGGCAGAAACTTTACTTCAACTATCATAAAGTTTATTTATAATGATAAAAATATTCAGTTTGCCAGAGCCAAGGCCAGTCAATGGAAAGTAAAAGAGTATTATGGATTAACCCATCCAGGTGATATACATGATGATTTTGGAAATTGATCATTTAGGTCACCTATTGCAAACTGGTGAAAAGATGACAAAGATATAATTCAACATCCAACTTAGGGAATAAGTTGTCTTCTCCCTAACAGGTCAAAGAAAGATAATTAACGTCATATTTCCAATTATCAACTATTCTAAATATATTGAGAGATTTTGAATAAAGGAGTATTTTTAACATTTAAAGAGAATGTAATTTTACATACCATTGTGAACAAAGGCGGTAAATACTTTGCTGCTTCAAATTATCCTTATATATCTAAATCATATACAAGAGTGTTTATCTTTAAAACAAAAACACTAGAAAGATTAACTATGTTACTATTTCATCTATCATTATTATACAAAGTATAACAAATGTAAAGATTTTTCCACAGATTTTACCTGTTAACATTTTTAGCACAACAGCACCTGATGTCAGTGAGATGTCTATCACTGAGATTTTACAAAGATTCCAATACCGCAAAAAGAGGCGTTCCTGAGAATCCACTTCGATTGCTGTATCAACATAACATTTACTATAATGGGATCCATGTCACTTAAGACAATGTCTTGGAAATTATGTCAATTAATTTATTCCGTAAAAGAATATCAGAGAGTATCCAGTCTATACACATCATAAACGGTGTAAAAATGTTTCATGGAAAAAACAAAATAAAAAAAGACAAAGACAAATACCAACACCATCACCACGGTGATAACAGATGATGCTGATCAATATCCGCAACCAATTCTAGCCAAATATTTGGAAAGCTGGACTCTACAACCTATACTCTACAACAAATACCCGGGTATTCTACAAACACAACCTCCAGCAATGTATCTAAGGAATGTAAACTTCTACAGGCATTTAAAGACTTTGGATTACAAATACAATTACTATTTTTAATTTTGGATTACAATTCGTATCTAGATCTATCCAAGAATATCTTACTCTGGAACTTGGTGTTCTTTTCAATTCTTTCCCAGACAAAAGCTTTGCTCATTTTAATCAACCACCTTTACAGGCAAAGATCACACTACGGATGTTTTACTGTTACAACAATGATCTAAGATGCTGGGAGCACAAAAAAACCTAAAGACTGTTGGAGAACTTTGGTTTACTAATTTAAGGAAGAAATGGCTACAATGCCCACAGTTTAATGGAGAGGGTGTTACGGGCAAATGCAAATATTACAAGTTTTAGAATGAAATGTTGTATTTCTTAAACTGTGTACTTTGTCTTTAAGAGATATTGCAAACTGACAAGGTGTTAGAAATGGAACATATTGTTTTTCATAACTGTTTCTTTAAGCAATAACCAGTGCATAATATGTTTGCGCCATTTTGTCCCAGACGAATTACAATAACAATAATGCATAAACAAGCTTCAAGGCTATGCTACGACTCTTGCAGTACACAATATACTGTGGTAACCCCAAGTTAATGGAACTTCCCCAAATCTGGGAATCTCCCACGACTGTACACTTATGACTTAGTATAAACAACAGATAACCTATTCAGACTTTAAGATGCCATCTTGAACTAAGTCAGGAAAATTTCCATGACGAATGCACCCTTTAGTTATGGCCTTGTATGTTTGCCAAATTAAGGGAGGTCCTAAAATGAATAAAGTAAATGAACTACGGTAACCCTAAAATGGAGACACCTAAGGTATAAATAGGTGTACTTTTAAATGTTAAGAAACAGAGGAGAGACTTGGAGACAGACGCTGCTCCATCTTAAAATGACAGAGAGGCTGACATGATAACATGTTCAGAAGGGTATGTTAACCTATTAATGATATTTGCAAGCATGTAATTTAATCTTATAAACTCTGCTATAATGGATTTTATATTTTTATATAATAAATATCCAAAAGAAAACTATTGCTTCCAAGACAATCCTTATTTTATATTGTATTCTCAATTATTTATATCTGTTAAATAGAGGATCTCTTACACTATATAAAATTATGGCTAAGATATCTGTATGGTTAGCCCTACTAAGTTCTATGCTTTAAGACATTATAGTGGTAAATAAGGGAACCACACACGGTTACAAAGCAGCCCTGGAAAAAAATTGTATGCCAGCCCCATAAGTCACTGCGCCATATATTGTCGCGTGTAATATGTAAGGCTATGTCTTGCCATGACAGATGATTGAGTAATATAAATTATATATATATATATATATATATATATATATATAAATATAAATATATATATATATCGCTTTTTCTAATATAAAATATTGGTCCTTTCAGAGTACAACGTTTAATTATACAGTAAGCATACTCACATGCAGACACAGACAATCTCACTGACATTTCAATGACACACACAAGCTCATTGATACACAGCCTCATAGACAAACAATCTCACTGATATACATCAACTCATTGACATAACAACACAAGCTCACTCACTAGCAGGCACACACATGCAAGCAAGCTCACTCACTAGCAGAAGCACACACAGCTTAATGTAGTGGTACTGGTGTCTATAGCATGTCCCTACAGGCTTTTCAACGTAAACACTGACTTTTCTGAGAAAAGGCAGTGTTTACATTGCTTCAAAGTGACACCGCTAGTGACAGTCACTCAGTGCACCTACATTCAGGGCCTCCACACTCTGTAGGTGCTGAACGTTCCTCATAGAGATACATTGATTCAATGCATCTCTATGAGGAGATGCTGATTGGTGTAGCATTTTGCAGCCAATCCTATGGCAAAGCATTGGATTGGCTGAGATCATCAAGCTTGATGATCTCAACCATAGAGGCAGGGCCAGTCAAAGGGAGACCAGCACGCTGTGTGGGGAAAAAAAAGGTGAGCAAAAACACTATTTTTAAACACACATATACACCATGACAGACACAGAAACACACATTTTCATGACAGATACACACACACCATGACAGACCATGACACAGACAGACCATGACACAGACAGACCCACACACACACACCATGACACAGACAGACACACATATACCATGACACACACACCATGACACAGACAGACACACACACCATGACACAGACAGACACACACCCCATGACGGTCAGACACACACACACCATGACACAGACAGACACACACACACCATGACACAGACAGACAGACACACACACACCATGACACAGACAGACACACACACACACACCATGACAGACAGACACACACACCATGACAGACAGACAGACAGACACACACACACCATGACAGACAGACACACGCACACACACACCATACAGACAGACACCATGACACAGACAGACAGACACACACACCATCACACAGACACCATGACACAGACAGACACACACACCATGACACAGACAGACAGACACACCATAACACAGACAAACACACTTACACACACACCATAACAGACAGACAGACCATGACACAGACACACACCATAACAGACAGACAGACACACCATAACAGACAGACAGACACACACACACACACACCATAACAGACAGACAGACACACCATAACAGACAGACAAACTCACACTGACACACATTACTACTACCTTCCAGGGGGTCGTGCAGTGCAGACGGCTGTCTGTGCTGGCGGCTGCTGGGGCACCTGTGCTGGTGGCCACTGGGGGACTTGTGCTGGCGGCCGCTGGGGGACTTGTGCTGGTGGTCGCTGGGGGAGGTCTGCTGGCGGCCACTGGGGGAGCTGCGCTGGCTCTGCTCTCCTGACTTCGAGCGCTGCTGAATGAGACCGGGGTCGGAATATGACGTCATATTCCGTCCCCGGTATCAAGCTGCATGCTGGGGAGCAGATACAGCGCAGCTCCCCCAGCGGCTGCCAGCAGACCTCCCCCAGCGGCCACCAGCAGACCCAGGTCTGCCCGGCCCCAGGTGCCGATGACCCACCGGGAAATTTCCCGGTATCCCGGTGGGCCAGTCCGGCCCTGCCTAAACCTCAATTTTACTTTTCTAGGAGATAATGTTGCCACTTATTATTGGCCTTTTCCCTGTCCATATAAATTTACAGATATATGATTGAGTCAGTCAGCCAAATGTCCGGTAATAGTAAAGTCAGGTGGTTAAATACGTACGTCCATTTAGGTAGAATACAAGATTTAAAAACATGTATCTTATCCATGATAAAGCCAGATTCTTTCACTCTTATAGCTATAGATTGGTCTCTATTAATACTGCCATAAAATTATGTTCCAATTTAATTTTTAAATCAGAGGTTATAAGTAGTGATGCACCGAACGGTTCGCTGGCGAACAGTTCCTGGCGAACATAGCGTGTTCGCGTCCGCCGCGGACAGCCAACACATGCGTGGTTCGATCCGCCCCCTATTCGTCATCATTGAGTAAACTTTGACCCTGTACCTCACAGTCAGCAGACACATTCCAGCCAATTAACAGCACACCCTCCCTAGCAGACCCTCCCACCTACTGGACAGCATCCATTTTAGATTCATTCTCAAGCTGCATGCTTAGTGAGAGGAGGGAAAGTGTAGCTGCTGCTGATTAGATAGGGAAATGCATAGCTAGGTTAGGGTATATAGTGTCCACTACAGTCCTGAAGGACTCATCTGATCTCTGCTGTAAGGACAGCACCCCAAAAAGCCCTTTTTAGGGCTAGAACATCAGTCTACTTTTTTTTTTTTTTTCTGTGTAATGTAATTGTAGTTGCCTGCCTGCCTGCCAGCTTCTGTGTCAGGCTCACAGTGGATACTGTGCCCAGTGCCACCACTCACTCACTGGTGTCACAATAGCTTGCATTTAAAACCCAAAAACTTTTTCACTGTTATAGATTGAATAGCAGTTAGTTGTCTCAAAGCGGGTGTGTCAGGCTCACAGTGGATACTGTGCCCAGTGCCACCACTCACTCACTGGTGTCACAATAGCTTGCATTTAAAAACAAAAAACTTTTTTCACTGTTATAGATTGAATAGCAGTCAGTGTCCTTAAAGCGGGTAATAGATTGAATAGCAGTTAGTTGTCTGCAAGCTTCTGGGTGTCAGGCCTCCTTCAGCGTGTGCCCTGCAGACCTTTGCCCGTGTACTTTGCCACTCATATCTGGTGTCTCTATAGCGTGCTTTTACAAAGAAAAAAAGTTTTTCAGTGTAAGCTAATAGCAGTCAGTGTCCTTAAAGCGGGTGTCAGGCCTTCAGCGTGTGCTCTGCAGACCTCTGCCAGTGTACTTTGCCACTCATATCTGGTGTCACAATAGCTTGCATTTAAAAACAAAAAACTTTTTTCACTGTTATAGATTGAATAGCAGTTAGTTGTCTCAAAGCGGGTGTGTCGGGCTCACAGTGGATACTGTGCACAGTGCCACCACTCACTCACTGGT